GTACCCTAGCCCACGGACTAATTTTACTTGAACTATTTTGAATCCAGAAGCATCGAAACATCATGGACAGTTTTGAGGAGCGGTGGTCCGAGGTGGTCAGAAAGTACGTCCATCTACATAACTCTTTCAGACACTTATAAAAATAGTCAATTGACCAAAAACTCCTGAACAGAGAGAGCGCAGATAAAGCTCAAAAACAAATTTGTCTGCTGAAAAGTGAGGCGCTCTATCCATGACAGATTTGTGGCCAAAATGGCAAACATCAGAGTGGAGACTCCAGAAGGAAGAAACTCTGTGATGTGACATGTTCAGCAGCAAGAGGGGTTTTCAGCTCTGTACCATGTGTCTCATGGGCAATGACAAGTGTGTGAGAAAACAAACAACGAGCAACCACGTGACGGGGAGTCAACTGTCAGGTTCCTGATCGAGTATGTTGGGCCCTTTAGTTAAAGCCCTTTGTTGTGCTTGCTAATGTTGATTATCTGTAGTGGTCATCAGTTGTAGATGTACATGCAGTGATTACTTTGAGAGTTTCACTGAAATCCATCCAGCTGATCGTGAGATACGTATTTGGCTATTTGACTGTTAATGCCAAGTAAGGCTCTTGCACAATATGCAGTTTCATGAATGCTGCCATCTTTGTTTAGTCCAGGTCCAGTTTGGGGACACCTGGTGCCAGTGTGTGACCTGAACAAGTGTGAAAAAGAGTTGTGGAAATCGCTGTGCAGTGTATATGTGCAACAACAATCGCTTCATGAACAAGTAAGAATTTATGGAACAACAAAAACTTCATATCATTGCACAGAGGTCAAGTGTAGGTCAGGGGTCTGAAAAGAGCCATCTCTGTCCCATGTCTCACTAATAAAATGTGTTTGGATATGCAAAATGTGATACAACTGTGTGATTATCAACTGGAGGCCTGTGGGCCACTTCAAGTTTGTTAAAGTAGTTTTGTTCCAGACAGTGGGGGTGACATTATAAAGCTAAAAATATTTACGGAATTGTAACATTTATTATTATTTATGCACTTTAGGACAAATTTAAAATAACCATGCTCATCTAAACAAGAAAAATAAGATTTATATTAACTTTTAAAAATAAAAAATTAAGATGCTGAACTATGCAGGCATATTTATTTATTTATGAAATTTATTATTATTATYATCATCATCATCATCATCATCATCATCTTTGACTTACCATATTTATTCTCAGGAACTTATGTTAATGTTATTCCAAAAATAATCCCAGTGGATTTGAGTGAAAGTTCATAATGTAAGGCTGGAAGCTGGATTTTATTTAGAAGTGGTCAACAAACTRCTAATTAACAGGTTTCACACCTTTTTATTAAACTTTATTTAACCAGGCAGATCCCATTGAGATCACAGATCTCTTTTGCCAGGGGGCCTTGGCCTGAAGGTAACCTATTGTGCATGTTTTGTTCTGTGGGAGGAAACCGGAGTACCTGGAGAGAACCCACACAAGTGCAAGGAGAACATGCAAACTCCACACAGAAAGACCCCAGGTCTGAACCAGGGATTGAACCTAGGTCTTTATTGCTGTGAGGCACTAATGTTAACCACTGATCCATCATGCTGCCTTGCATTAGTAGAATTGATCACATACTAAATAGTGACAAACTGCTAAAGCTAGCTTTATCTGCTCTGAGTATAAAACAACAACAACAAAAAAAGCTTCAACACGTCTATCTCCCTGAGCATACTTTCAGTTGGTTTTAATCTGTTCAGCCTCTGTTCAGTTAAATATGTTTCCATTTCCAGTCCCATCTGGGTTTACAGAATCACCTCAGCAGTGGTTCCAGGCGGGTGAAACCGGTTATTGCGGGCAAAGGATTTTGACGTCTGCAGACTTCTGYCCGTGGATTGGCTGAGCCGAGGCTGAACTTGCAAATTCCTCCTGGAGAGAGGTGAAGGAGACAAGCACATACAGCTTGAGCTGGAGCATCTGAAATCAGCAGATATGTCAGGAGGTTTTGGACAAACTATCCACCCCGGTTACGCGTGCACTTACAAACAATGCCGTGGCAAATAAAAAAAAGTCAGACAATCTGATGATAAAACCACAATGGCTTAAGCTGAGTGCTGATGTTCCACCCGCAATCATGCCCACAGAGTGAGACACACTGATACGGAGGCACACAGACATCTGAGCAGAACTAACCAGACATGAACCAAATAATGAAACTGGACAATGAAGATGGGGCTAAAGAGCTGCTTCACAGAGACCAAAGAGCCCTAAGTTGCAGAACCCCTGGTAAAGGCCTACTGCTGTTGATTTGGTTTACAGCAATCTTGGCCAAGTATCAAATTTCACATATCATTTTGGCATCTTAATATCACAAAATATTAGAGATGCACTGATATGAAAATTGCAGCCGATTGATATCCAATACTATTATTGGTGTTATGGTCGATAACCGATATTTACCGATATTACACAAACACACAAATTATTTATATACTAGGGGTGCAACGATACAGAAAATCCACGATTTGGATCGGTTTGATACTTTAGTCTCACGGTTCAATATTTTTTCAATACAAAAAAAGAGAAATTTCCATGCTCTTTTTAACTTGTAATTTATTGAAATTAATTATGAACATTTGTTTAACCTCAAAAGTACAGTTTTTAAATTAAATGTTGCTGAAACAGCAAGTTTCTCAGTGGATCTAAGCTCAAAAATGCAGCCTAGGTGGAGTAGTTGCGCACAGATCCACTGATCCTTCAACACAGAGCATCTTCAGAAGACAAGTTGATAAAGTAAATTTTAAAAAATCTGTATTGTTCGATACAAGCGTGTATTGAACCTAAAGAACTGTTCGATACCGTTCGATAGGGGTACATGTATTGTTGCAACCCTATTATATACATATACTGTACACATAAAGCTAAAAAGTGGGAAATCAATATCAGACATAAATATCAGCCCGGTTTTACTTATCGGACCGATATAGATATTCTAAATAATGACCAAAATCGGCCGATACTGATGTTAATGCCGATATATTGTGCATCCCTACAAAAATATGGACCATCTTAAAACTTAAACATATCTATATAATTGTTTACAGTTTGTTTATGTATAACAATAACATACACCATGCAAAAAGTTACAGACCATAATAGCCAATGCATTTACCACCATTATAGCAAAAACATTCAATAACCAATTACTATTTCTGCCAAATCTGATGTGCAGCCAAAAAGGATGTTTTATACTTAATATTTATAAAGCCAGAGGAAGACCCATGCAGAATAAATTGCATCGGCTTGGATAGAGAAGGTGGGAAGTGATCAGCAGCTGCTGGTGTTGTTTTCCTAATCTCCAGTCCAGGTCAGTTAATCTCTTTTTTATCTACATAAATGTCATAAATGTTCATAAGCTTCGTAAGTGGGGGTATCGTCCAGCAAAAATTGTTATCATGACAGGCGTAGCTACAACCACACCAAATTTTACTACAATATCTGCGTTCACAGAATTCTAGCCAATTTTGTGTTTTGTAAAATCCAGTCAGCTGTGGTAACAATCTTAAATTAGAAATTACAAAACTAAACTTTAGCTCAATATCTGCAAAACAGATTTTTTTAAGGTTAGTTGTCTGTGGCAGCCATCTTGAACAGAGTTAACTTCAAAAGTTAATCAGTTAGATGTTCAGCCCGTGGTTACTGTCTGCAAGTTTCATTACAGTTCATCCAGTAGATCACATGATATTTTTCATACCAGACAGAAACCTTTGAAAGTGACACACACACCAGAGACAGGCTGTGGTTTTTCTCAGCATCTCAAAGCTGAGGGGTGTTTTTGTAACCACTAACCCTGTGTGACGTGATGCTTTGCAGACAGGCTTTCCGGTTTGTCAGTCCGCTAAAATGCTCTGGCTCTCGAGCTCAGCAGTGCATGGAAATATCTGATGATTAATAACATTGCTGTAATCCCACAGGAAGTCATGCAGCAGGTCTGTGAGCAAAAATCAACCACAAGCAGCCTTTCACCTTTAAGTGTTGTCATCAAAAATGATTGCTACGCTCAGTACTGATGTCTGCATGACACACGAATAAACGACACACATTTCATCAGTTACAAAAAAAMCCCCAAAACTGATGTCAGCCAAAACATTACAACCACTGACAGGTATTGTGACACTGATCTTTTATTTACAAAACATTATGAAGGCAAAACCTGCATCCTGGCATCACCTCTGTAGAGGTTCAGAGCAGCCACCCACATATATCAGTAAAACTCTTTTACATGTTGACTGCATGAGAAGCACCCAGTCAGATTTTGGTGGTTGGTCATAATCTTATGGCTGGAATGCGTAAACAATCATGGTTTCTAAATCAAATAGCAAATGCAGATCATAGCTTTGTTTGATTTAAAGGTTTGTGGGATTTATATTATATATTTCTATGAATCTACAAACCAGTTTTGATAAAACATTACTATTTTAAAATGAATCAAGGCAGTTCACGCACTTTAACAAGTGTGGATTTGTTTGTGTTTATCTACTTSTGAATAAAATATGTTAGTACCACTTCTGCAGTTTTATCCATTTTTTACCAGATGTGATTGCAAAACAGTTAAAACAAATATATTAGAATACATTCAGTGTGCATACATTAATAAAAAATAACTTCAAATGTTATTCATCTTTAAAACTCTGTCAAATTTTTATTTTATTTTGTTTGTTTTTAGATGCTGTAGATGTTTTTCTATACAACACACTAGTTTCCTGTAAAACAATCCTGTTAATGTAGGCCATTTCTATTCAGTCTCAGGTGATTTTAGAATATTTTGCCATTTAAAAGTATGCATGTAGATAGCCAGCTCCTGCTTTCTGTTCCAAGGACAAAACATAAACGTTGGGGTGACCGTGCATTTTCTGCGGCCGCACCTCGYCTCTGGAATCAACTCCCTCTTGATCTACRTTTGGTCATTGAACTTGGCCCTTTTAAATCGAAGCTTAAGACMTTTTTATTCCAGCAGGCTTTTAGTRCTTAATATGTGGTGACATTTCTGGTTTTRGTTTTGTTATTTTGTTGAGTCTTCTTGTTTTTAACTCGCTGTCATGCTAATCACTGACTCTGTGAAGCACTTTGGTCACCAGCACTGTGGWTGTGTAAAGAGCTATAGAAATAAATGAARTGAAATAAAATGAAATGAAATGTACGTTTGACTCTTATTTTGAAAGACTTCAGGTAGTTCTGTGAGGATTCCTGCTGAGACAGTAACAAACACAAACCTCTGAGTGGTTCAATAAAAGCTTCTTSTTATGTTGTAATTCACACATTAAAAGTAGTAAAAAAAAAACCCGGCTCAACAATTATCATCAGCCTCTTCTTTCCTTTCCTTTTCTTTCTTAATCCTGAAACAAAAGTCCACCTTTTATTWTTATTTTTTTTTGCCTATGAGTGACTCTAAACTATTGTCGTATACATTTTAATTATTCATTAACAAGCAAACCCAAACTTTTATAAATATTTTATTTATGGCTTTAAACACTAACAACATGAATTAAATTTACAAGTGTACAGAACAGCTCTAACATGAATTAACACTTACTAACTTACTATTTTAAAACAGTTGTTTGTTCCTGA